GCATGAAACAACAGGCATTAAAACACACCTGAAACACTGTGAAGGATTAATAAAGCTGTTTGACTTGTATCACAAGTTGTTGGGTTAACAAATTGATGCCAAATTGCATATAAAGTCTTACAGTGCATTTCCTCCCTCTTAAAATATTTGAAAACGCCCTTTGGCACCAGTTTGGATTTCCAACATTCTGAAGAGTCAGTGAACGCACCGTGAACATCTGCCACATTGTTTTGTTGCTCAGTCACGTAGCCACAAAATCTCCTTTGGTCCTGGAAACCTGCCACAGTTTCTGTTTCTGTGTTTGTTTTGAAAGCCCCTGCCCCACTTTTACACAAAGACGAGTTCATTATGAAGACAATATGAATGCACACAGGAAAGTAAACGTATACGCGCAAATGGCTTCCACAGCTAGCAGAATTATGGTGAAATATGATGCTTTAATCTTGCACTTTCCCCTTCCTTCATGTACAGGTTGTCTACAATGCATGACACTGTGATCCATGTTCTTGTCTGTAGAAACCTTAGACCATACTGTCTACTTTCAATGACTGACTCTTATACCGTAAGTGGCTCTGTGCTGTCTGGCTACCTGCACTGAAAATCCACCTGTTTGAGTTTAAAGCACAAATGTAATCAGTGTGGGGGTTTCTGATTCGGCACTTTTGTGGTTAAAGACCTATCTGGTAAATAGGACCTTTTGTGTTAAGTTGGGGTCGGCTTCATCCTCTGTGGCCCCTCTGCTTTGGGGTGTGCCACAGGGATCTATTCTTGGGCCGTTATTGTTTTCACTGTACCTTTTGCCTCTTGGCGCGATTTTCCAGAAACATAAAGTGCCATTCCATCCATAAGCTGATGACTGCCAGCTCTACTTACCTCTTAGTCATTCTGATAGTTTACAAACTGGACCTCTGCTTGACTGCCTGACTGATGTCAAAGCATGGATGGCAAAAAACTTTTTAAATTTTAATGATCGGAAGACAGAAGCAATTTTATTTGGCCCAAATCGTTCTTCTCTTACTCCGGATGTTGATCTTGCAGCTTTGACTTCCCAACTAAAGAGTTCGATCACAAATCTCGGAGTTAAAATTGATTCTGCACTTACCTTTGATGACCATGTAAACGGGGTGGTAAAATCAGCATTTTATCACCTCAGACGTTTATCAAAGGTTAAGCCCTTTCTTTCCAAGCGTGACTTGGAAAGTGTTATTCATGCCTTTATTACCTCACGTTTAGATTATTGCAATTCTCTTTTAATAGGGGCAGGGCACTTTGTCACGCTTGCAATTAGTGCAAAATGCTGCGGCACGATTTTTAACTGGCAGAAAAAAATTTGATCACATCACTCCGATTTTGGCCTCTTTACACTGGCTACCAATTGAATTCAGGATCCGTTTTAAAGTCCTTTTATTGGTTTTTAAATCTCTAAATGGTCTGTACAGCACTGCCTACCAGGTGTGTTTTTAAAGTGCTATATAAATAAATAAATGATGATGATGATGAAGGGTCTTTTGAGAGCAGGGCTCCACTGTGTAAATTAGACTTGTATGTATTGTTTCATGTCCACTTTAAGATGATTTGTTTACACCAGTGATTCATGTAGACCGTGGCCACCTGGTGGGCTGTGGAGGTTCGCAGGTGAGCTGCAGTAGAAACAGAAATTTAGTTTGAAATTACTAACAAGTA